TCTTCCAAGTTGACATCAGCATATGATTTGGCATAATTTTCAGTTGTCATGTCTTTTCCAACAATAATTGTCATTGCCTCATACATATCAAGTTTTTTATTGAGATACTTGTCATGATTGGGATGTGCTTGTTCATAAAATTGAGAATATGTATTTTTTTAGTTCATTGTATAACATTTTAGAAACAAAAGTAAATATAAAAATTACAAAGAGTATAATATTTATCATGTCTTTATTTCTTCATCATATATATCTTCCGAAACTGTAATCATCTTCAAAAATTGATTGTTCTTCAATGTTCTCTTCCAAGTTGACATCAGCATATGATTTGGCATAATTTTCAGTTGCCATGTCTTTTCACAGTCTTGAGATGATTGTCCACATGCTTAGGCTCGCATTACACGTTGAACATTTGATTGATTTTTATAGCCACCTTAACAAAAGATTTTGCTTTAAAGATGGAAGGAGGTTTGCTTCCTTTAATACCTCCTCAACTAATATCTCAAGTAACATGTGTGATATAAGCTTAGACCATGTGAAGTGCCTGCCCTTGCATTTTTCATTCTGTGTGGAACTCATTTCTACAAAAAAGAAATTACAAATTTATACAAAATAAAATCATATAATATATAGATTTAATAAATTTCATATCAAAACTAAAATTAATATTTAAAAGAGAATACATAAAATACATAAGAACTTATAATAAAGTCAACATCAACTCCAAATACATAACAAAGATAATACAAATTCAAGCAAGACACAATAAAAATAAACACATATAATTAACACTCAATTACTAGTTTCTTTGAGTGTTATAATCATTTCACATGGTTGATGCAATCATTTCTTCTTTTGTTATCCACTCCCTATTCTCTTCCCTTTCTTCCTGTTGACTTAAGTTGATTGTTCGTCTAATTAGTTCACTTTCCGAACATATTTCTTCCATAAAAAAGTCATAAGGATCAACTCTCATTATGTGATTATGAATAATACAACATGCAAACACAACATTTACTTGTGTTTCATAAGACCAAAAAGATTTTCCATCAATTGATCTAAAAC